GTCGATCCCCCACTTGATCGACTTGCTGGGTCGATCCCCACTTGATCGACTTGCTGGGTCGATCCCTCACTTGATCGACTTGCTGGGTCGATAGCCCACTTCATAGACTTGCTGGGTGGATCCCCCATTTGATCGATTTTCTGGATCGATTCCCCACTTGATCGCCTTGCAGGGTCGATCGCCCACTTCATCGACTTGCTGGGTCGATCACTCACTTCATCGACGTGCTGGGTCGATCACCCACTTGATCGACTTGCTGGGTCGATAGCCCAGTTCATAGACTTGCTGGGTCGATCCCCCACTTGATCGACTTGCTTGGTCGATCGCCCACTTGATCGACTTGCTGGGTCGATCGCCCATCTGATCGACTTGCTGGGTCGATCTTGATGGACCTGCTGGGTCGATTCCCTACTTGATCTACTTGCTGGGTCGATCCCCCACTTGATCGACTTGCTGGGTCGATCCCTCACTTGATCGACTTGCAGAGTCGATAGCCGATTTCATAGACTTGCTAGGTCGATCCCCCACTTGATCGATTTACTGGGTCGATTCCCCACTTGATTGCCTTGCAGGGTCGATCGCCCACTTCATCGACTTGCTGGGTCAATCCCTCACTTGATCGACTTTCTGGGTCGATCCCCCACTTGATCGACTGTCTGAGTCGATCGCTCACTTGATCGACTTGCTGGGTCGATTGCCCACTTGATCGACTTGCTGGGTCGATCCCCTACTTGATCGACTTGCTGTATCGATCACCCACTTGATCGACTTGCTGGGTCGATCACACACGTATCGACATGCTGGGTCGATCACCCACTTCATCGACGTGCTGAGTCGATCACCCACTTAATCGACTTGCTGGGTCGATCCCCCAGTTGATCGACTTGCTGGGTCGATCACTCACTTGATCGACTTGCTGGGTCGATCACCCACTTCATCGACTTGCTGGGTCGATCACCTACTTGATCGACTTATTGGTTCGATCCCCCACTTGATGGCTGAAATTGAAACACCGGTAAACATAAAGCTCGGATTGGTATTCTCTGGCGACTCCCCATTGTATGCCTGCTGCTTGCAATAGGCGAAGGGAGGCGTCTTCTATATATCTTGTTTATTGTTACAGTATTGTAATGAGAGTAAAAATCAAATTTTTCGGAACGTCTCATATTCTGTGTACCAGATTTTTTTAAAAATTGTTCAAGAATTATGAGTTTTCTGTATTAACTTAATAGTTATTGACTGCCTGTCGTTAATATAGGCCACAGTTCGCCATACAATAATATAAAGACAAGCAAACTTATCTACTTCAATCTTATAACTATATTGTACTTATAAACAAGTCGACGAGTTCGCAACCCCATTCACAATTGATAAATCCAGGGACAGATCAAGTCTATCATTGGGGGGGGGGAAGAATATATTTTTATTAAATGATAAATATTTATTACATTCAATATTGTTTATGGAGTATGTATAAAATTCTATACAATATATGTTTTTACATAGTTTAAACATAGATATTCAAATCAATTTTGCCAAATAAAGGAAGATAACAAACGAAAATACTAGGCTTTTTGGAGGCAGCATGGCCTCCATGCCCCTCCCTTCCTGGACTACCCAATGACTGAAAAGATATCTTGAAAAGAAGAGTACGTTTAATATTTAAACATTAACTATATTTTAAATTGCGACATTTCATTGAGTTAAATGTGAAAACGAATAGAGATAAATTCGTGTGCATGCAGGAAAAAACGTGTAATTTGTGTAAAAATGAGTGGTTCTAAAACCGCACGTACTTTCTCGCCCTTAGTATGGTTATGTAATACCTACTATTTATGGCGCAATTTCTCTCCAAATTAACGCATGTCAGTCATCATTTATTGTAAAACTCATTACAAATCGTAGAACATTTTGTGCGGAAACTAAATATTTTCTAACAAACATCACAAATTTGACAATTATAACTGCTTTTCATGCTCCTAAACAGTGAGACGGTTATCACGGAAATTCAGCTGCCGTCTGGCGGCCAAGAATGCCATCGTTGCATTCCGTTCTGATGTTCCCTGAAGGCTAACATATTTTCTTTCATAAATCGTACTTTTAAGATAGAAATTACACAAAAATGCTTAATATTTTAGAAAAATTTAACATGACATTATTTGAAAATGTATTTGATAAACACATTTCATTATTTTGAAATATCAGTCAGATCGATGTCAATTTTGAAGAAAATCGGTTGAGGGATTTAGTAGCGACGTTGACTGATACGTTTTGCAGTACAGAAAATCCGGACCAAAAAACAAATAATACTAATACTAATAATAATAAAATCTTAATGACAGAGAAGATATTAGAGTATAGAAAACTCCCACACCATTCTTTCATGTCATTCTTTAAGACAAATGAAATTAGGGAGGTTTAAACATTCTGGAAATATACACTGTGAAACCAGAGTACATCTTTCTGAATATGCAATGGAAATGTTATGTTTAGCAAGATCTGTACAAATATGCTGTAGGGTTGTCAAAGAAATCCTGCTGTCCCCCTTACCTTAAAAACGTTATCTCCCACATTATTAAAACCACTAAAACTTCGTTGTTAAAAGACATCTGTTTAATGAAGACTTGCTAGAAGTTACATATTCATAAACTCACAAATCTTCGTATTTAAAAATGCTCCTTCAATTTTCAAAAATTAGCTATATTAGATTCTTTGGCAAGGAACCTACACTGATGTTTTCTCGAAGAGGAAATCTCTAAGGTTTATAATGGATTCGCAGAACAAACAACTGAATAAGTATTCGTTTTATTAAAGTATAGTGTTTAAACTATCATCCTGGTTAATAATTGTATGAGATAAAACATATTGAGCACACTACCTTACATTTAAAGCAATTATTACATAATTTAGTTGAGTGGAAAGTTCAAATAACTTCCTAATGAAAACTTTATTTTTTAAATAATGTCAGAAGTTTTAATAAAAATCAGAACTATAATATACTTATAAATACACTTTGTTCTATTTGAACAAAAAGTCAGCCATTTCCCATAGAATGTTAAATGCCATGTAAAATACTGTACCTTCAACATCTCAATGATTTCCGGAACAGCACAACTTTGATCATTACCAAGTTTCGGCTCTAAAGCTCCTAATCTAACAGCTAAGTGTGATACATCCATCCATCGATTTTTGGGTACAAAATTGCGTGTATCTCCTCTCCACCTGCATCACTTTTGATCATCTCTGGAATAACAGTATGTAACTGAGCTTAATCCTGGTGTGTGTTTACAAGTGCATGTGAGGGAGGGCTTGTCTCTGGGGGGCGTGTGGGTATGTGTATGGGGCACGTGTGTGACGTTTTGTCTAAAAAATCATAAATGCAGATTCTATGGCTGATATTCAAGGTTTTATTGTTGAGGTGATTCCAATACTTCACCTCCCTATACTGTTAGAAGAAAAAGTAAAAGAGTAACTGAAATATTTTGTTTTATGAAACTAAATATCCATACCCTAAATATATTATAATTAGGAATTGTTCTTCGTTGAAGGCAAATCATGGGAATTGCTAATGAATTGACAATGTACTGTTAAAAGCATTTCTCCAACACATAACACTCAACGTGCTGGATACTTGGATTCTCATGAAATTTTATAAGCTGGTGGAATTAGATGCAAAATCCAGTGGTCAGTTTTCTAACGTATTTGCTCTTTCATGATAGATGGCAAAGGCCATATATACATTGGTCTCATAATTTGATGGGCAGAGTGCCTTGATAATTCTATCGAAGTCAGTTGTAAGGATACCTTAAACCAATGGCTATTTTTAAAGAACCTGAAAAAGAAACCTACATACGGTGCACTTGACATTTATGTTGCACTGTTTAGACTTTTTTTTATTGGACTCCATTATTGTGTTGATTTTGTTTCAAACTGAAAAGTTAAGTGTATGTATGTATGTATGTATGTATGTATATATGTATGGACATATGTATTTATTTATTGTATATTGACGTAACATTTTCAGGGACCCTGAACTTTGCAGTATTTGCATTTGGATTATTCATGCATGTGTTTGACCTTCTAGTCTGAATGAAACTGTCACGTAAACACCGGTTTTTGTCACCCTCCATGCCACATGCCCTCCAGGGCAATTGACACCCAGCCGACAGATCGCCTGATAGCTGCGGCACAGTTCCCGAGCACTGGTACTGGACCATCGCTGCGCGACTTCCATACTTTGACAGGCAGCAAGGTCACGAGAAGTCTCAATTCTAATTGTCACAAAAAACTGCTTGCTATACAAGCTGGTAAAATTTCATGTCAATCTGAGTATCCAGCACAATGAATGTCACACGAAAAATAACATGTTCAATTATGTTCTTCAAATACTTGAGACAAGAAACTGAGAAGATCTTTTGTCACAATCAAAGCATTTCAGTGGATCATTTATAAATGATTTCTCAATAGGGGGGAAAAATGGTTACCAAAAATTTAAATATTTCTACACATTTTTCACAACATTTATTAAAACAAAATCTAATTTAATAACTACAATACTTTACAATATAATATAAACGACTTTCATGAAACACAAAAATATATTACGCAGACACAGTTTCCACCATAGTCTTCTTAATGATTTCACCGAAGTTCTCATCACAGTCCTCTACAACAGGATCTGTAACACTGGTAGAAGCTGCTCCATGATCACATTTGTCAGAGTCATTGCTTGAGTCATTCTGTTGTACCGCAACAGATTCACTTTCCACTAGAACATCTGCAGATCCTCCACTGCTATTAAATGTTGCTGATGGTCCAGCTATGCCTGCAGTCGAATCATCATAAGCAACGCTGCTACCTGTCCTTCCAGGGGTCATGTAAGAATACCGTCCCTGGAGTAATTCAGAGAAAGATTCCAATTTGTTGGTTAATGGACAAACAGTATGCAAATTAGTATAATGACTGTGATTTATATTTGCATTCACTTGCTTATTGCAGGATTCTGTAGAATTGGGAACAGCTGAGCGATCCTGCATTGGATAATTCTCTCGCAAATCAGAAAGAGATTGAAAATTCTGATATGAGCCATTTGCAGGTGAAAGAGCATGCTGATTAAATTCAGCATTTGAAGATCCACCTGCAGAATTTTCTTTATAGCCATTTTCCACAATCTGCCCTGATGTTTTATCAGAATATTCTGCCCCATACAGGGGGTTAGGATTATAATGGCCAAAAGTATTAGGTGCTGAATGATGAACAGGAAAATTCTGCGAAAAGCTGGATGAATACTGATACTTGGCAGTGTTCTCATCATATGGCACATCAAGAATACTTGGAGTGGACGAAGTGGTCTGAGAATTATATGTAGTTGCACCAGCGTCTGCAAAGCCAGGACTGACCAGCATTTCCGACGTACCTGGAAATGGTCGTGTTGAAGGATGGTCAAAATGGAAAACAGATCCTGAATTAAATCCAGCATTAACTATGGCTGGGTCTTTTCTTTGGGGAAAGGGAGGACCTGATGTATGGTGCGATAGGAATTGGGAGTGATCGGATGCAGGATTGCTCTCCATGCGATCAGCAGCCAACTCGCTACTATTATCCTCTGAGTAACCATCATCACGGAAAGCATAAAGGTCAAGGGAGTCTTCCCTTGCAGGAAGATCTCCCACCATGCCAGGAAAACCAGTAACACATTGTGGTGGAGAAACTCCAATTTCCATACCTGTCGAAATTCCTTGTGGCTCTGTACTGGTACTATAATGAAGATTGGTAAAATTTCCAGCATGTACACAAGATTCAACTTCTGTTCCTGCTCCCAGGTTCACATCACGCAGAAGGGAACCACTGTACTTTGGCATTCCCATTCCTTCATTTGCAGAGGAAGTCTGTTTTGACATATCCGCATACACATTTCCGGTTGCCAAAGTGTTTTCATCGCTCCACTGGACTCGACTTTGTTGTGGAGGCTTAGTTGAAGGACTTTCATCTTCAACTTCAAGTTTCTGTTTCTTCTCCAATTCCAAACGCATTAATGTGTGTATAAAATGAGTGCGGACACGCACTGGGTTAAATTCTATTCGGCCACTGGAGTTAGCGCAACCATCCCTTGTACAACCACAAGGGAAGTTCAATCGATCAACCTGGAATTAAAAAATTAGAATTCAGAAAATTACACTCGTACTCGTGCTTTACCAAAACATTCCTTAAATTACTAACATAATAACAAAGGTAACCCACCGACTTACTGTTTCTATAAACAAATTAATGAAGCATTCATACATTGTAATTTTAAGATTACTATGAACACTACAACAGCTCATCAAAAAAAGCCATGAAAAAAAATTCTAAATAAACAAGAAAATATTGTCAGTCATTCTTACGTTAAGAAGATTAAATAAATAAAGCAACTTTCTAAGAAAGAAGACTTGGGTATTACGAAGCTTCTGCATTTTTGTTGATCCCACATAGTAAATACTGTAGCTAATTAAACTAATGGCTCACATTAAACTTCTTCCCCATCTTCTGTCTTAAAGCAAGGCAGAGTTCTTTTCACATCACAGGCACAATAGTAATAACTGCACTATTAGTAACATGAACTACTAAGTTTAACATCTTCAGTTTTCATTAAAGGAATTACTATTCATGCTATCACAGAAATTAATTTTTGTATTCCAATACTGTTATTTTGCCATCTTCTACCTTTCAAAAAACTGTCCCTCACACCATGTAAAATCTAATTTAGACAAGTTGCAGTCCTACATATTAAGACAGAAAAGTTAAATTTGAACATAATGGTCATCTGATCCTTAGAGCTTCAAGCTAACATTATCACAAAATATAATAATTCTTAAGATGCACAAATAGAGTTACAAAAACCTTTCCTTTTATTAAAAGAAATAAGCAATGACTGCATTGGCACAGTGAGATGTGAAGCACACCTATTCCAGGCAATTTATTTACCAAACAGAAGGCCACCATCATAAAAGATAAGCCTAAAATTGAAATTTTTTATCTTATATTCGATTCCTACAATCTGCTAACTATGCAGCGTGTTCAATTTAATCAATTTACAGCTCATATTTAGCCTCATAATGTTTTTATAAGAATCTCTTTTAAACTTCTAACAACTAAAATATTCACTTACTAATATCTTGAAAGCATTTCTATGGAGGGTTTTTATATTTTCACTCATACCCATAAACTCTCATTGTTTTATCCACGACTGTCTTGTGTTTCAAATACTGTTTTGAATGGATCAAAAAGCTTTATAAGTATTAACTTTCACAGAACTTTACTTTAGAACAGAATTTTAATTTAAATAAATAATTCATTTTTTAAATTGTATGAAAACTAGTAATTTAAATTAGATTACTTAAAACACATCTGTGACACTTTATACAAATGTTAAATATTTTTTTCTTCCAAATAGTATAATCATTAATTCAACAACTAAAAAGCAGTAACCAAAGATAACAGAATAATCTATATGCTTCTCAAGCAATCTTCAAAAATTAATTTTAATAACAATTATTAGAGTAAATTGATGTTTCTTGACTATTCTGAAATCATTTTAAGAATTCTAGAAATTTTTGGTTTCATAAGTTGGAAAACGTATTAAATGAAAAAATAAAAAAATAAATTCAAATTCCTCAGAAAACAGATAACATATTTTTAAAAGCAATATCTTGCAAGACAGAGAAATTCCATATTTACTTACAGATTGTTAAATATTGTTTTTCCAGATATGAGAGTAGAAATTGAAAAATACAAGAAATGAAAGTGTTGAAACCATGCTAAAATTTTGTTTTATATAATCACAATGTTACTTAAAACTAAGTTCCTTGTAGCTATCTAAATTCATTTAGATGTGCTGGGATCCCCTCTCTTAAGGCAGCTCCACACACTTGGCCTTCGCAGAGCAGCAAGCTATTCCTCATCTAATCCCGTACAGCTAATATGCACCTAATCCCGTAACGATGTGTTTGACGAATGTTTGCTCTCTTTTGTGTGTCCTAATAACCGACATGCGATGGGTAGGGCAAGTACCAAATGTTCGTCATTCACCAAATAGCAAGAAACTCATCCACATTCCACGGGATTTGCTCACTACTTTCCGAATAACAAATGTGTGAAGCTGCTGTAAGTATTCTGGGTCGTTTGCCAGAACGTTTGAAATTTCTGACCAACAAAACCTTGTTTAATCTTAGACCTTTTAAAATTGAACTGCTGTAAACTTTACGTTAAGGGTTCTTAAATGCATTCATAAATGTAGCTATTCCAACTTCAGTTGAAACTGATCTTGAATGCAATTCTCAGTAAACCGATAGCACTTGCATTGAAACTAGGTCAATGAGAGCTATATGGAGCGACACGCTGAAGCACACAAATGGGCACATTTCTTAAATTAAGGAAATTCGTAGAACAGCTTTGTAAGGAATTCATGATTCCCAATAAAAACGATTGGTAATACTTTTAAAATTCTAAAATAAAAAACAACAAGTGGTGCTACAGAATGGCACAGTCTATCCCTACACTAGTTTTCTATTTCCTTTGGTCTCAGCTAGCTCTTCGAACTTGCCACATTCTCTTGCCAGCTACTACCCATCCTCAAGTACACTTTTTTAAATTTCCTACTAAAACCGAAATATTATTTTAAGTATATTAAACAGTAAAACCTTGTTCTAAATGACAATTTTCTTTGAAACATTTGGAGGAGCTTTCAAGAAAATGGTCTTTAAGCACTACTGTCAATTCGAAATTTGAAGCACGTTTTCAATGAACATTTTTAAGTTTTCGAAAAAATTTCCCTATACTACTTATAATACTCCATATACACCTATGTAAAGAGGAAAGTAAATAGGTTTAAAAATTGACACTGACCGAAACACTGACCAAAGAAATTTTCCAAAAGCAAGGAATCATGATTTTTCAAACGCCAGTGCCATGTCACATGGAGAGAGACAATCAACAGCTGACACCAGCACCCCAGTGCCAAAAACAAATATTTGTCAGCCACCAGTGAGCTGTCTAGAAGGACACTTCATCCATGACCTTTTTCAACACTGAGGGCATCTGTTGTAGATGCAGACAAAATGTCTGGGAACAGAATTTCCTGTAGACCATGGCCATCCAGCCAGGAAGGTAACTTGAATTATGGTTTTCTTTAAAATCATAAGGGAAGATATTAAAATAAAAAAATAAGTTACAAGTTCTAGGGGCTTTCCCCACATTAGATTAGATTAAGATTATTTCATCATAGATTAACATTATTTTCAATTTAACCCAATTTCATTCAATTGTCATAATGTATTTCACGATAAACTAATCCCTGCTATCTGGAAAAACGGTATACTGTAGAAAATAGCACCTCTAAAATTTCAAATTGCTATGTACTCATATTGCAATTCTTTGAAAGATCCCTAGAAAATGTTGCATCGGAAAATTATCACCATTGGCTACAATGATTACATGGCAACAAATAATAGTGATTAAGGGTACATCTTTAATATGAATATGTTGTCCATATATTAACAAACAAAAAAGTGTAAATAAATTATTATAAATAGTATTATTATAAAAATGATAACAATATTAGGTAGTATTTTTCCTCTTACCCTGTGCAACATTATTTATCTATATAAATTTATCTTTCATTAGTACACAGACAAAAAAGAAACATTGGCCTGGATGAAGCATAAAGTTAAAATGGAAACTGCTGTTCAAAGCACAGAAGAAATGATAGTGCAGTTTATTTTTTATTTCTACCAAAAATATTGCAACACTTATATTTTGCATATCTTCAATGGCTTCAAAGTCTATACCTAGCTCAATTGGAGCAGCCAAAGTCAGAACCAAATTGGGGTTTGAACAGTTTTGCAACATAAGCTTTGTAGAACATACATAGGGGACCTCAAAACCACCCAGGATATTGTAAATTTGGAAACTAGATTTACTTCCAAATATATTGTTAAAACTATTATTTTAGAGAATAACTTGAACTGAATTTTGTGTCAATGTGTAATTGAATATTGAATGTGTAAATTTTTTGAACACTTATTTTCAATAATGTACACTTCCATACTACACATTCTGACATGCAATTTTAGATTATGCTTAATGGACATTACATGCCAACTATTACAGGTTGGCAAAATCCCAAAACATAGAACGAAATTAAGTGTTAAAGTTATGAAGCAATGCAGCAATCTAACATTCAACATTTTAGATATGTTTTCCTCAGCAGTTTCAGACAAGACAGTGACATTTACATGTAAATGTATCAGAATTGCACATCTACCCCCAAGCAATGGAAATTTTTTGGGTCACTTCTATTTTATTGGCTTATTTATTTCTTAATCCTGGTAACACATCTCAAATTACTACTAATCATAAGCATTCCTAACCTCAATGAGACATGTAATTTATTTAGGATTATGCAAATAAATCGACAGCATTTGTACAATCATAAAATTATATACTATGTCAGTGTTATTGATATAGATGGAATTCCTAATAGATCTTAAAGCAGTGGCAGATTTATAAATAGGCAAACCTAAGGCAGTGCCTAGGGCAGCAAGATTTGGCAGGGTTGCTAATTTTCTATGCAATTTTTTTTAGATACGAAATGATAAATTAAATTTTAAATTATAATATTTAAATGTCACTTATATTATCCTAAAGCTTTGGGAAAAAAAATCATTGCAGGACTTGCTCCAGTTTCTTCAAAGAACTGTGCTGACTGAAGAATGATATTTGCTCGGGGGGGGGGGGGGGGGGGGGGGGGGGGGGGGGGGGGGGGGGGGGTGGGGGGGGGGGGGGGGGGGGGGGGGGGGGGGGGGGGGGGGGGGGGGGGGGGGGGGGGGGGGGGGGGGGGGGGGGGAGGGGGGGGGGGGGGGGGGGGGGGGGGGGGGGGGGGGGGAGGGGGGGGGGGGGGGGGGGGGGAGGGGGGGGGGGGGGGGGGGGGGGGGGGGGGGTAAATTAACAATTTATCTGTCCACCATTTTTAATGGCATCTGTTAGGTGTCCAGTTTTTTACTTACATAAGAAATTAAATCAAAACTACAACAAAACAACATTACAACAAAATAAAAATGTTTATAAATAGACTAAAAGTCTCAATTTACTAGAAAACACACAATACTCAATCACACTCAAAGACTAATCGGCAAAAAATATATGGTTTAACCTTGAAATACATTATTACTTTTTTCCTAGTCTTAACATGAACATTTTTTTCTTTATCACCTTGCCCTACATTTCTAAAACAAGTATTTTCCACATTTGTACAGCATTGCACTTTTCTATCATTCTTTTACCCTCAAATAAGGAAGAAACAATAAAGCAAGTAGAATCAAAAAGAATAAAAGTACAGATTTAACTTAATGGCTGTCAATATGAAATATTGATTTATATTCTTGAAACATGAGCATTAATGTGTTAAGTTAACATTTAAAAAATCAATTTCCTTTGTAATAAAACAAAAAAATGTGCATATCTACCATCCCATTCCAAAGAAGATTGTAATGAAGATTTTATCTGAAACTAAGAAATACAACAAACCTGGCATTTGATTCCAGCTTGTGAGCATGAGCAAGTATCTGGATCACAATACACTTTGCATCCACATCCACAGAACTCACGGGATGATCGAATATCTCTGCATTCATCTTTTTCCAATGAATCAATTTTTCTCACCCCAGCAGCACGTAACAAAGCCCTACGCTGTCGGGTTGGCACAGGCTGAAATGAAAAAATGAACATGCTGTAAGCTGAGAATTTTCTTCACTTTACAATGCTAAAAATGTGAATTTGTATGCATGTGTACTGTGTAGTCCTGTTCTTTGTGTAATCATTAACCAATTTAGTTAGCCTTGGGCAGTTATCAAAATATCTTCCAGGGAGAAGCGTGCGAGACTAATACCATTAAGAAGAAACCAATGTACCAATGTAAGAACTGTCGCATGTTAATTAAGGTTTCCATATCCTTCCATTTTAACCCTATAATGTATCTTTTTCTTCAAGACCCTCTTATCCTCTGTCACTTTTTCAATGTGTCTCCTTCTAACTGTACTCACTGAATGTATTTTAACATAATAGTACAAAACATAATAGTCTCAAAACAAATTATTTTAATTTAACTTTATTACGGAACAGAAAGGTACACACCCGAGCAACCCAATCGCATAGAATATCAAGTAATTAGTTTAATTTCAAGTAGTTGTAGATTCTACATGTCTCTGAACAGGTGGGGAAGTATTGAGAAGTACCGAACCAGTTAAAGTGTAATAAAATGTCCAAGAAAATCTAATCCTGTAGTGTGAGGAACATTTCTTTGGAGCCAAAATTCCAGGTTTTAAGGCATTAAAACACTTTGTTTTGAAGTTATAAATTTAAGCAACGCTATTCGCGTGTTGCAGGTTGTATTGCATGTAAATATTTAGATGCTTCCCCCCCCCAACAAAACCCTAATATGTTGAAAGTTGAAGTGCAATTCGTCACAAATCTGTGAAATTTTAGAGACCTCATTTGTAGACTGGAGGAACATGAAACCCACAAAACTCATCTATTCTACTGAAATAATATAGGAGAGAATCAGGTATTTGTTAATTCCCTCATTAATTATAATGCATAATAACTGTAAAATGAAAATTCACCAAGCTGAAACTTCATAAGCTTACAACCAAGAATGGTACTTTAATACTTATGTTTTCTTTTAATTTTCATAAAAAACTTGAAGTTACATAAAATACCAACACATTGCTTTTCTGGAAGAGTGACAGCACATCTACCACAATAAAAATTTTCCAGATGGAAAAAATAGTAGACATTTTTAAAGATTTAATTATGCCAACAGCTCTGCATCCAGAACAGTGATTAGTGTAATGAATGCATTTTCTTTTTTATTTTGATTTACAAACCATATATACACGATTTTTTGATATAATTTTTGTGTTGGCAAACATTATATTCAAGGGAAAAGCTTTATTTTTGTTTCAGCATTTCATTCCACAAATACTTCTTTAGGCCTCTTTCTTTGTGAAAATTTGTACACTCTCTATTGTGAAAAACAATGTGTCTTAATGTTTGTTGAAAAATCAATGCTACATTTTCAAGAAATTTCTGCTGCTACATTAGTGGCAGCTTAAGCTACCAGTGGCAGCTAATGCTCTCATGATTGGTGGTTCAGAAAATTATAACAATGATGATGATGATGATGATGATTATTATTATTATTATTATTATTATTATTTTGTGAGCTATCAACCTTAAGGGCACAAGCCATCACGTGGCCACCAATGTCACCTTGAAAGAATGATCAATGAAATAATGGTTTTACCAGAGGCGCGGCTCATTGTAGCAGAGGGATACTTCTCTGAGTAATTACAATTACATTTATGTGTTTAATGAACTAGAACCTTGGTTCTAAGCATAACAACTATATGAACTAATTTACCCAAACAATCAAGCAAAATTTAATGAGTCTGAAATGGTTTTAATTATCTCTCAATAACATACCTGCAGAAAATAATAACTATCTAGATCCAACTCTGACTCAGAAATATCACTCTGTTCTTCTTCACTATCTGAATCATCACTCGAAGATGCCATAGCTCGTTGTGCACTCAATCTTTCATTCCGCAACTGTAGAAGTACTTGTCGATGAAGACGGCGTTGTTCAACAGCATGTTCCAGTAAAGAAAATTGCTGTACATGAGCATGTGTAGATGCCATTCCTAATGTTGAACCACCCTGCAAAACAAGTAACTTTCAGATGTGATACAATTTACAGGGATTTTACAAATTATTCCAGATATTTCTGCAACTCAATTCACTGCAAAAAAATTCTAGAAAAATAAGCGGAGCATTACTGCACCTTTGAGAATATATCCCAACAATGTTCATTCTTTTTGTACAGTTTTACTGATATCTTGAGAATTTTTCTATCTTTAGAATCACTTTCATCGCAATGTGCAGTACCATTTTGCATTCTGGCAATAAAAATTAATCATAATAATTTTGTACTTACAGAGAATTATTTCACCCTCCCTAGAACGACTGAAACTGTAATTATTTGTGTAAAAAATTATAATAAGAATAACCATTCCAAATTTTGAAATCAATATTAGAACACCTTTAATCACAGCTGAGAATTCTTATAACATATTTGAAGGGTGTTAGAACAGGAACTACAAATTTTAGTGTGAGTTTCATGGGAATTTATTGAAAGAGTAATATTCAACATTATTAACACGGTAAACTGAAACAAGTTCAACGTTGTTAATATGATAATTTCACACAAATAATCCTGAAAACGAGAACAGAATATTACAAGAAGTCTTTCTTACAAGAGAGAAAACAGAAATTATGCAGGATAAATAGTAAATAAAAAATTTTGGAAGTGAAAAAGTAAGCCAGTGTAGAAAAAAATTATTACAATAAGTGTTTAATTCATATTTTAAATTATTTTAAGCAATCAAACCATTTATGTAATAATTTGTAAAAAAAAAATGTTATTCTTGAGATTTCAAAAATCTTTTCAAAGGTCAGGATTGTTACAAATGTTTTCTCAGATCTACAATAATTCTTTTTAATGTTTACGTTTTTTATGCATCAGTGTTTGATGAGTTAGTCAGTGAAAAGTAAAATTATAGACAGAAAGTAGCAAACTCTCAATTGGCAAGAACATACTGGAAATGCACATTTTTAAAAAAGCACATAAATTATATTTCAAATGGTTTCTTCACAGAGTGTGTGAGTGTGTGTGTGTGAGTGTGTGTGTGTGTGTGTGTGTGTGTGTGAGTGTGTGTGTGTGTGAGTGTGAATATATATATATATATAATATATAATATATATAATATATATATATATATATATATATATATATATATATATATATTTTAAATATCAAATGTACTAATTTTTTTTAAAATTTAATTCAATTTGTTTGATTCACTTCCAAAAAGTGTTAATGTTTTTGAAGGCATAATTTATTAAACTATGCAACAAAATCTTGTACTATAACTTAGGAACACATAAAACAATTATTATTTAAAAAAAGGTATTTCTTGACAAATTTTAATTTTAACTAATCACAATAGCAAATTATCAAATGTTTGTGTGATATATTGAATTTAAGTTTGTCGAAACAATGTAACCAAAATAATATAAAATGCTTAATTCTTATATATGTTAAAACTACTACTTAAATTTAATTCATTTATAGTAATTTAAGATAATAGCAACAGTGAATAATATTAGACATGTTTCCGGTTAAAATATTACTCAAAATAACTGACATGCAGTTCAAGGTAAGAACATTGGAACATTGTACATTTTGTTTTGTCTTGTAAGATTTAAAAAATCAAAAGTTTGTATGGGTTCAAATGATGGTAAGCAATAAAAAGAACGTCTCGAAACTCTTTTTAAAATCCTTAGATTATATAAGCATGCAATTAAGTTGGAAGCAGGGTCTGTGTCTATACAATGATTTTCAAATTTAAGTTGACAGGTCACATGCAGCTAAGGCCAGTTTTGCTACTTTTATAGGAGGAAAGAAAGAAAGAAAGAAAGAATGAATGAATGAAAGTATGAAGGAAGAAACAATGAAAGAAAGAAAAAGAGCTCGTTTAAGCAACGGATGGCGTTTTTGGAGTGCTCTAGCAACAATGCAAAATAATAACGGGAGCTATAAAAGTTGCAAACAAATGCAACAATAGCGGCAACAATGGCCCATCGCGCACAAGAAAACAGCGCATAACGTCCGTCAAAACTATCTCTTTCTCTGTTTCTCTCTCTTTCTGCGTCTGTCTCACCCAGGAGAAATTTCGCAATCGCAGGGACAGTCTACGCAAAGAAGACTTCTTAATAATCGTACATCAGTGTGCGATGGATTACGTAGAGAGCGCCGTGACGTAAAGCGCCCGCGAGTCTACATAAAATCATTGTCAATGCGCGTCTATGTGCGCAGGCATATACACATTCCCATCATACTATGCCTATATTCTTTCCGGAAGTGCAAGCAATAAGTTGACAGTTTTATTGCAAGCGGATGAACGGTGCGGAAGCGCATTAAACATCCACCAACAAACATTGATTTTATATATTATCTCGAATGTTTTATAATGAGAATATTTCTTCAATAGACAACGACATCCTAAACGAAACAGATAAGCACGATTTGGAATTCCTGCATGCTAGATGTCGATTTAGCCGAGATCACTATAGCATTTTACGCTTCTGGACAGGGTGTATTCATGACTGACGTCACGTCGGTTCGAATCTTCTTAAACCGCGCTTAGCTGCTATATGCATGTGATTAATGCACGTCTCAAACGAGAGTTTCATAAACGCGCGTCGTAGATAAACCCTCTTATGCGAAACAGCGCTTCAAACAGCGTTTCTTAACACGCGTCAACCCGACGCCCGGGTGAACATCACTAATTCGGAGGGAGAGGCCGGTGTAAAGCAAGAGTGGTTATACTGCGATTTATCCCACTCTGCCCCAGGCAGGTATCAGCTGTTGACACTTTCATCGAATCGGGAGCTTGAACGTCGTCTTAGTGACGTCACTATGGTGACGTTCAAGCTCTCGACTGAATGAAACAGCGAACAGCGGATACCTGCCAGGGGTAGAGTTGGATAAATAGCAGTATAGTCCGCGCCGAAGTTCGAAAGGGCATTCAAAACGCACTAATCTTGCAAAAGCGCTACCACACGCACAGAATTATACCAGGCATTAACGTGTTTAAATGCATCAATTCGCTACATTTCAACAGCAATTTCGGTTCGAACAACCCATTAAAATCGTTGATTTTTTTTTAAATTGTTGCTTGAAATAACAAAAAAGTACGAGTAGGAATAGTAATAACGGGAATACTGTATATGAATGTGGGTGTCTTGTATGTATGCATCCATGCATGTATACATACACACATTTTTAATAAAAGTAATCATTTTGAATAAACTGAGTAAAATTGTAACATAGATTTAGATTTATTTAGTCAAAAAACAGTAAAAATGTGTGTAATGTATGGGGCAGAAGATAATCTGCGCACGTTTTCGCGTTTCAGAATCCTTTCCCATCTTTCAACTATTTATAGTTAAAATGAATTGACAATCAAATCTTTTTATATTTTGTAATGGATGAAATACATTTTTCTTTATTTTAATTATTTATTTTCTAAATATTCATAATTAAAAATTAAAGTTAATTCAACATTTTTCAAACTTGTATTATTCTCTCCCAAAATTACAGGACTTAGGTCTGGGCTTGGTGGGCCTATTTGTTGACTTGGCACTGGCGATTTTACAATACCTCTATGTGAAAACTTGTATTATGTCTAAATGTAACATTTTATTTCAACATAATTCAAATATTTCACTTAAACATAAGTTTAAAAATTTTAACATTTGTATTTTTTTTTTAAATATATGAAGTTGATGTTAGCTCTCCCTTTCAACAAATTAACTCTCAGGATCTAGAACAAATTCAGAAAAAAGTCTGCAGCACCTGTGGTCACCCCGTAAGGAAAACCACCAACGTTCTTACACCATGCATGCAGCCCCGAAACACACGAAATACAACTGACATTTATACCAAGACGCTAGTTTACCGAAATTAAAAACAAAGTCACTCTCCATAACAACCCAGTTTAAGAAATAAATATGAACTGAATCAAATAAAATAAAAATACTGGATTTTACAGAAAATGCATTACAATGTAGCCATTGAAATGGGTATTCCTCTACTGTACCTTCAGATATTTTTGTTCTGGCTGTTGGATGGAACCACAAGTCTTTCAACATACTCAAGAGGTGGGAGACTGCTTTATGACACTCTCCCACAGAAAAACTGTGCAGTCCTTCGTATGAAAAATAGCTTGAAGACATATCTGAACCATAAACCTCTTGAAACAATGACAAAACATGCCGTAAAAATGAAGATGGGCATCAATGAGTTACAAATGAAAAAATTTAAAAAATTAAACATCTGAGTTTACAAGTATGTATTCTTGGGAACTTTCACATAATCAATTTTTTGGCAAAAGGTACAATTGATCAGTGGAGGAAAGAAAGAAGAAAAAAAGAAAAAAGAAAGAAAAGAAGAAAAAAAAAAGCAACGACTATTTTTTCACCCTTCTGAACACAAATTTCCTGAATGTGATAATTTGATTTATCTCTAATAAGAATGCTGGAGGGGTAGATACCTTCTAATAATTAAATAAATAAAAGATGTTGTCTGGTATCAAATATATAATTTAACTTAAGATATTTTCGATCTCGTAGGGATCATCCTCAGAGCTTGCAAGGTCTGGGCAGAAAACAAAGTTGATTTATCTCACTTAGGACAGATACCCAACTGAAGATTGCAAAAAATATACAACATAAAACACAAAACGCTAATGATAAAATTATCTAATCATTGAAATCAGACAATGACACAATTCCCATATGTCAGTAAATAATTTAATATAATCTAATGATAACAAGCTGTTCATTGACAAACTACCAATAACAACCTGCTCGCAAAATGATATGGAACAGAAACATTTAAAAATAAAATTTGCATTGCTGTAAGGTTCCATCTAAAGTGGCAAATTAATTGCACATTTTTACAGCCTATTTCCATCAAAGCCTCTACATGAAACAATTTCAAATACACTGGAACCACCATTACCTAGGCTACAGTTCCTAACGTTTCCAACATGAAAGAAACTTTTTATGCAAAAGTTCTTTTCTAAAAAGGAAATACACATCAAAACGAAGTAAATTACTTAATAAATAATAAGAATTTTGTTTATCTGTTATCCTTCCCTATTATTAACTTGGATAACGAGGTTGAAAATATTATCAAAAGCATCATATGTAAATCAAAAATTTCATATTTTATAATAACATTATTTGTTTGTGCCAATATATACATTACACATCCAACATGATTACACACACAAATATACAATGTGTTTAAATAAAGTGAAACATAACAACAAAAATAAGTATAATATTTAACACAATTCACAATAATCATGATATAAAAAAAATCAATCTTTAAATCATGATTATTTTAAGTAGTATTTTTGGGTTCTTTTGTTTATATTATTACGTCATATATTATCAAGCATACATTTTAATGTAAATCCATGGTGTAAAGAAATAATATAAAATTACAAATGATCTATTGACAGGACTTTCCAACATTGTTACAGAACGAGCTCAAAAAAAAAAAACACAATTTCAAGAAAAACTATTCTTCAGAAATTGTCTTTATACAAGATTAATGGGGATAACTAAATACTTTCAAATCAAGTGTTTTAGTTCAAGATTATCAATAACATTAGATTTCTCATAGGATGAAATCATGATGTGATTCTTCCCATCACACCCAATTCCCATCTTCCCAACACACAAACCTTTCGAAATTGAGGGCTCCAATTACTGAATATAAGATGAATTCAGAAAATTATGTCTTGAGTTTTAAGTGTTTAGAATTACAGTTACAACTCATACAATAAATATTTTCATGGATTTGAGATAATTCAGAAAGTAAGAATGCAAGAGAAGATGAAGAAGAGAATTGAAAAATTATATCAGAAGCAGATGAAATCTTGGGGGAATATTCTTGCGAATTCACATTCTGCAATTCTCCTAGATTTATATTAAGATTCTTTTTTGATTTATATTCCCAATCATTCTTCAATTATTATGATTCTAATATTATTCCCTCAAATTTTTCAATTGTTTCTCTAGTAAATTCAGACCTGTTAACTCCTTAAAAGGATTAGTAGTCGTATACAAGCAGAATAATCAGAAATGATCTTTTCATTTACCATCCCTCAATGACAGCTAGTAGAGAAAGGACAGAAAGAAAAACATATTATTCTTGTTTAGTTTGTCATAAGCAAAGTGTATATACACAACTTGTGTAGAATAATACGCATGACTTTTGACCCTTTTCCAATAAATATCATCTTCAAACCAAAACTATTTTTCAGTCTAGGTTCTTAGAAATCAAATTCAGAAACTGAATATCATCTACAAAATCTCACACCTCTTAATAACTGATGAAACAAAAGCATCTTTGTACAGCATTATTAGAAATAATCAATCACTTCAAATTTTTTATCTCTGTACAAAAACAAAAAGACTATTTGCACAAGTACAGAAGCACTCACAACCTGGAATATGTTTCTGCAGTTTGATTACATCAAAATGTAAAATTTTCTCAAGAGCAGGTCATATCAACAACAGAATAATCTTTAGGACTTCAAGAAATGGCCTAAATTTCTGAATGAAATGTATTAAAATATGGTTACTGAAACTTCATTTTCCTCATTTGCTGCAATTTCACATGAAAAGAAAAACAACTACATTTCAAATCAAAGATTTCATTAATTAGAAAACAAACACAAAATTATCAAATCATATGACGCATGCAGAAATTTCTTTACAAAGTGAAATAGTCAATTTAATGCCAATGAATGACCTTACATACCTGAGATGGTACACAAGTGAAGCCTTGAGCACGTGGGAAGTAGTAGACAGTAACTTTGTCAAATGTAATGGACCTTTTCTTTTTTGCTACAGGAGCTTCTGAATCATCGTATGAATGACAGCGTTTTAGATTGCTTCTCTTCAATGAACTTTCAGCCGCAGTCTTCTCAGCAGACTCCAATATAGCACCTAAATCTGGTTCTTCCACACACTTGCCTTCATTATCAGATACAGGAAATTTGAGTTCCATATCAACAGTTTTGTCCGAATTAACTGACACTGGAAATTTCAAATCCAACTCATCAGGTTCATCATCATCATCATCAGGCAAAGGAAATTTTAAACCCATTTCTACAGCTTTGTCTGCTTCAGCAGACAGGGAAAATTTTAGTCCCATTTTATCGTGTTCACTTACAGAAGAATCACTATTTACAGTAGGGATGTCAAAGTATTCAGATGTACCTGCATTTGAAATATTTTTACTGCAGATCTGTGGTGGTGATGAATCAGGAGAAGGTACGTCAGGCAATTGCACATTGAAACTAGAAGTTGGCAATTCATGAATAACATGATCATCCCCTTCCACATTAATATCAGGGGTTTTTTCTACTATTGTTTCCTGCAAACTCTGTGGAACCTCTAATTCTAAACTTTGTGTCTCAATATCTTTGGATTGAATTTCTAAATCCTCAGGAAGTCTGTCTAAAAACGAGGTTTCTGTATCACTTATAATACTTTCCTCATTCTCAGCATGTGTACTAATAACACCATTTGATTCATCAGCAGATCCAGTCGACAAAGAGTCAACTTGAGCACCACTACCCTCTACCAAATCTGAACCAAGTCCAGAATCACTACCATCAGATCGATCATTTGTTTCTAACAAAGTTTCTTCATGATTTTCTAATACGGCTGACACTTCACCTAATGAACTTCCAACAGCAGAGTCTTCATCACCATCAGCATCATTAGTTGGACTACTTTTAAAACTTGAAAGTTCCACTGCAGACAACAAAGAAGAATTATCTCTATTCCTTTCAATGTCACCTTTAATAACCTGACTTTGCACACAAAATTTGTTTTCTGTCTTTGATAATAACGACTCTTCATTTAACTCTTTTTTTAAGTCAGAACACTGCATATCACTGCCCTTGTCACAAGGGAATGTACGCATTGAAGTACTTATATGTGGCACATTATCGAGTTTCTCTTCAATTAACAACACAGAAGCATCTAATACCCGATCTGATGCATCTGTTCTACAAAGTTCTTCTGACGCAGCAGACACACTGAAATTTGTTTTATCTTTGATGTTAATACCCAATTTTTTGTTTATGGAAGATGTTGTATTATTTGATTGTGGGCATATTTTCGGAACACTTCCTTCATCTTCTGTCGACTGGCAGCTGTCAATTCCATTTCCATCCATAACCCGGGTACTTTGTGACCCTAAAACAAGTCAAAATTTGGTTAATAATTTGCACTGATAATAACTACCGATAAAATAACTTATTGAACATGCACACAATTAAAATTACATTCAGAGGTTCTCAGTCTACAATGCAAAAATATTTTCTCAAATCTTTAAACATTATACTGCTTTAGGTTATGTTTACTTTCAAAATAAATATACACAATTTTAAGAGCTACAATACACAACCTTCACAATTTACATTCATATATATATGCGATGGAAACTCAAAAATTTTAATTCAAAAATTCTATATTACCTTATGATGAAGACATTGGTTTTATTTTCTCGCAATTACTCTTGATCGATTCCAACTAAGATTATATAGTTTTAAACCACGAAGAAATACTTACTTTTAATGAAATTTTTCATGTTTGGCCCCCGCACAATCGTAAAATTATGCACATTTATGGACACGACTCGGGGACCAAAACATTAATACAAGGGCAGCATATCGATTCCTCAACAAGTCAAGATTAGACAGGAGTGATGCGCATGGGGATGTACTATTATCATTCCTATATGATATGTGCTACATGTATGTCATTCTCTAAAACAACGACAGTATAATTTCTACTTAGGAATTGCTTTTTCTGTACATATCTCGATGCACTCTCTGCCACCCATGCACAGTACCCCACGACCAGCGCTCTGGGCCCAGCCGTAATACTGCTTAGCCTCCAACCAGGGATGTGCTCATGCGCAGGCCTTCGCGGGACATCGGGGGGAAATAGCATCACTATTCCTTCCACTAAATATAAGCTCGCATCAGAGACAGAAATCATAGTGTATTCGTATTCTGGATAATATAAGGTTGGATTCAACAAACCACTCTCCTATTTTTAAAATTCTTCATTCAAACTGAACAGCTGCATATCGTTTCCTCGTTAGAGGCTATTCGAAGGAGATATCGAAATGAGTACACAACAATGACCGTTGAGAATGAGAAGTTCTGTTTTTATTTCAAAACACAGTTGTATATCTAATGAACTCCTTAAACACAACTTAATTTTTCAATTCGCGTATTTGTCATACAAATATTACCGAAATAGTAATCGAAAAGTTATTTGCGCCTCTTTTACCGCGCCTTAAAAAACGGAGGGAAAATGCATTTCCGTTAACGCGAATGAGGGAAACCAATTTTGTTTCTATGTGACGTCATCAGCATATTACTTATATCCAACCCACTTGAGTATTGATTTCGTCCAAAATTTTCGTTTGTTTTTCGCTGTCTAATATATACTAACTTAATCTTCAATTGTAATTACGAACGCAACTTTCGTAAAAGCAGAAAAGCGATAGTAGTAGTATGTAGTAGAATGAAAGTGAAAAGAAAAAAAAGTGAACATGTGTATTATTTGGCAATGATGGAAACGGTATTAATGAGAATTGTACTTAAGCAAAAATAACTTTCTGGGCGTTTTCAAAGTTGTATGAGAAGTTCTGGATCATTGCGCGGCAAAATCAGCGATTTTTTTTCATGGTCGATTTCAGAAAAATGAATGAAATATTTTTGCGTGCTTAAGAATGTATTGTATTTTCTTATTTTTCCTGTATAACATTCCCTTTTTGGCCTGCGTAAATAAATATTTTAAAAAATGCAGCTACTTGTGAGGACACTGTACATAGTTAATACTTCAAAGTGATTCAGGTACAAGAAGTACCAACGTAGTACAGGGGCGGATCCAAAGCCAGATTTTAGGAGAGGAAATTCAAAATGTTTTGATCTAATGTGTAATAATTTAGATTTTGTAAAAAGTCGCAGACTACACTCAGCTCATGCTGCGATACAATTTTATTCGTTTTAATTATTATCCGAAAATATTTTTGCTTGAAAGTTTCGTGACAAGTTATAACTAATAGTTCATGAAAAAATTTAGGGGTGTGGAGAATTTCCCTCCCTGTGAATCTGCGCCTGCATAGTAACTGCTCACGCAAAGAAAAAAACTGACAAAACGTAGACACTACATTATTATGATAATTGTGCCTTAGGACCGGCCATTCTGATGCCGTAATTCAAGGCTAGCGCAAGCGAACCTTTTGTTTCATCCTGCCTTATTTTCAACTCGTGAATTCTACAGCAGAAAATTCACATTTTTATTTAAAATGCATAACACGTTTCCCAAAATATTTGGAAGCTTTTTAACAAACACGTACACAAGTAACATTATTTTTAATTTCCCCCTTTGTATAATTTTGTAACAAAAGTCGTCTAGCATCTCAAGTGTACCCCCTCTCCAGGCCTCATTACTTCCTCAGATAATTCAGAAATGAACTTGACTAAAATTACTACAGATGAAATTTATATGTACAATGCACACAAGAAAATGATATGTTACCGCGGTGTATTTTTTTCTATTTAACCCGAGAAATGAGCTTCCATGTATCCAGAGGCGTACAGAGAAATCACTGTATGAAGGGACCGCTTTGACAGCTACCGCTGGCGAAATATATCAGCAAGTTATATCCATGCCCTCGTTTTGTCAGTGATTTCGTTAACAGTTGACTCATTTGACTATAGCTTCATTACTATCTCTTGAAATGTCATCCCCCTGCACGACGGTCATTTGTTTTTCGACCTGACAAAGTGGTCCCTTCTTAGAGCAATTTCTCTATAACATACGATATGGCAGACACGGTACGGGCCATGGGCGCCACTCACAAGGGATGCTATTTAGAGTATACCCGCTAAAACAAATAACAACCCTAATCCCTAATTTGAAGTAACCTGACAGGGGCGCAAATTCTATGCTTGCCATGGGTGCCTGAATATCTGTATACGCCACTGCATGTATTCTTCTAATGTCATTCGTGTAACCACATCGGAATTCTGAAACTCAAGGAAAGCAGATTATACTTTTCCCCCAAACGTCACATAGTTATTACTGTTTTTAACGATAAATAAATAAAACTCGCATCAACAATAGCGTTGTTAAATACATGTTTCAAACAATGCCATTAAGTACAATTTAAATGTATCATGAACATTATGTCACTCCGTGAATATTGTCTGAACAACACGTTTTGCATTGCTTGTACTCTCGAGTTAAAGATCCTTTATTTGCGTTTTTTCTACCCGGGTACTATTCTACAAAAATGTCTTCAAATAAGTCACTTTATTTTTGTTCTGAAGGACGTACACTTTTCAATTCAAACTTTCACTCCCATAGCTCCATCGTACCATTGCGTTAAAAAGTGGCAATGCCCAATAGCGTGAACGAACTTCTTGAATGACTCCCTTATTTCGTGCGATTAAGAAATTTGCATCTCGCGATTATGAATGAGACAACAATTAAAATTTATTGACTGGCGAAAAACTGGCAGGAATTCCGCTTATTTGACAACTGACTACATCAGAGAATCATAAGTTTTAATAATTCCGATTAAGGTAATAAGAATTGTAACATGAAGATTCTTTTTCGGTAATTGTCATTAAATCTTAATAGTGTGACCTGAAAATGTAAACATCGCCCAAACTTATCACTAATCATAACTGAATTCAATATTAGCCTGATAATAAATTAATTTGCGAATACTTAATCATTTTGTTAAAAAAAACGCATGGAATACAAATTTTAAAAAGCATAAAAATCGCATGCGACGGAGAAGAGACTTTAGACACAATTTTAGTCCACAATTATCGCCGCCGTAGGTATATGCCTCCCGTGCCTATGTGTAAATCAACCCCTGAAAACACCCGTTTCAAAAGTTCCTATTACATCGTACTCAATGAATGCACTCTCGTGAAAACGAACATGCAAAGTAATGGACAGATATGTCGCACTAACAAAGTGGCGTAATCCCTGGCGCACTATTTGATTCTATTATTTTCCATTCTTGAAATTCACTCGATATTTAGTATATGCTGTTGAGTTGTCCTGCAACCCTACTATTAAGAGTGAGAAAAACACAAATATTTGCTGTTGCTCGCATAATTATGAAGTTAACATTTTATCGTAACACGCATGTTACGTTATGTAATGCGCTCTTTTTGGTAATATACACAAATGAGAATTGTAGATTAATTATTATTGATACATGTTCTCTGTTTCTGGATATTCACACGTTGGAAAATTTTAGAGAATTCCAGATTTTTGAATTGCAATGACATTTCGAATTGAAATTACATCTTATAATCCTAAATATCACTTGGCGATAGTTTTTATTTTATTATTCATGATTATACTCGTATGCTAACATGCTATTTGATGTCGTCAATAAAATCGTCCGCAATCACCCGAATTTTAACTATATTGAGGAGGGTCGAGAGGCAGAGACATCCTTCATTACATTTCCCCCCCAAATATAAAATAATTTTTCCTCCAAACCCTGTACTAGAATTCAGCTTCATAACATCGTTGGAAATCATAAATATCGACGTTTCGAATCCAAAAATAATTTTGCTGAAATTAATAATGTACTTACATCATGCTAGCGAAGCGGCATGGTTTTGCATGCCGTTTACACCAATGATGGACCAGACTGCTGCCTATGATTATGATATTCTGGGTACGGCAAAATCTGAATCGAAACAGAAAATAAAATGGAGAAAATGAAAAGGGAACTTCAGAAGAAAACGAAATATAACTACCCGTATGAGACTCAACTTCAGAATCAGAAGAGAATGTTAAGAGGCAAATGAAGATTAGCACGATTATGAACAATAGTTCTTATTTTGACAGGGACAGGGACATGCGAGTCCAAGATTCATGAATCACGAAAAAAAAATCTAATTAAAAACAACAAAGCCATGCCTTTAAAGGGTAATTCAGTGGATGGGAAGTTCTTATGATAACGAAGTTTATTAGCGTGAATTGCGTAATGTTTTCCATGAGAATATCATTCACTATTGCCAGTGGTAGAATTAATAGAGTTGAGGGAAGGAGAAAGCCAAATTAATTACATCGCACAGCAGTAAATAAAATGTAGACATTAAAATGTTATTTATAAGCACACATGTCAACCGGAAAATCTTATAATCGACACGACAATCCAATTTTTTTTAATATTTATTGATTCTGTCCCAATTTTTCTAAATATTTTTAATTAACAAAAGTTAGTATTGTTATTATACAAACATTAATATTTTACAATAAATTAAACTTCATGTCTTTAGAATGCTACCTAAATATGCAATTTTTCGGAAAAGCAGTAAAAAGGAGACGCACAAAATACCACCCGGAAATGATAGACAAGCAGACAAAAACAAGTCCTGCGAATTTCTACGCAAAGTGAAGAAATTAGCGAATTTCTATGCATTTCTGAATCACGATTTATAAAAAAATAATATAGTTTTCAAACGTTTACATTACTATCTTGCCTTCCCATGATAACAACTAGCTTGGAAAATGCACTGTCAGCCTTTCCTCGTTTTTTAACTTTACTCAATCGTAGGAGCGATGAACCTAAAAAGCATTGCTTCCTTCGCACAAGTAAACAAATGAATCATCTAGAAAATGAAATGGACTTTCAAATAGACTTTGATAATTGAGATTTAGGAATAAAAATGTACATTGCCCATGTTTTGGCAAGGTCTATTGTGATTTGTATCGCTATGTACTGTGACGTATCATATTGATAAACGTCAGTGATGAAGGTTTTATAGATGAACATTATCAAGAACCTTGTAGATAATTCATTCCTTGAGGTGGTGTAAACAAAGATTCAAGATCGGATCCGGAAACTGCATAAGGAGTGGCAGGAAAAGTGCCTCTGAGGTTCGATGGAGGTACACAAAGAGAGCCTCGCAAGCCACCCTTGAATCCGCCTCTGCAAATAAATGAATGGATACTCTAAAGATATCTGTTTCTTGTATATTTTTCTCCCAATTTTCGTTTCCACTTCTTTGTTTTCTCAATAGCAAATAATCTAAACGAGAATACGAATTAAATTATCTCCAAAATATTTTTATTAACATATCCAAAGAACGGGTCGCCTATATTTTCAAAAGTTCATTTTTGTATGCTTCCGAATGAAAAATGCTATTGAAATTGATTGTTTCAGAAAATTCCAATCACCACTCTTAGCAAGAATTATATTGATTCATATTTTGTAAATGCATAAGAGAAAAGTAACTCTAGTGACCACTGTTCTAAGGAATTGCACTATTAAGTGTAGTACACAAATGTCACACGAACATATCTTACGTTAATGTATTTCCTCGTTATATTCTCTTATTTATTATTATTATTATTATTATTATTATTTGAGTGCTGAATTTTTATAATGTTTCTGTCTTGTTATTCATAACAAGAGCGAATTGGTTTTGATGAAGTTCAAATACGCTGTGAATCAAAATAAATTCCACTCCAAAAAACAAACAGAAATTGGAAAATAACTATCTTGGTCTGAAGTAACGAAATAAAATAACACACTATTAAAAAGAGTGGAAAATGTTTCGATTTCAAATTTAAAAAAAAAAAAATTCTTATGCGAATTTCGCACAAAATATGTAGAAGCGATCGAAAAATGTGGAAAATATTTACCTTTCAAATTATACAATAATTTATATCCTCATATGAAATTCACATAAAATAACGAAGAGTGAAACCTTAAGTGTACGGCAGAGGTAGAAAGCGTGCAATTGCAAATTCCGTGTCATCATAGCAAATTATGTTGATAGTCGATCTTTTCAACATTGCTGTAATCAGAACAATCTGTAAATTAAGTTTTTTTTGTTTTGTTTTGATTTTTCATTCAAAGAGAATGCGATTAATCAGAAAGCACTCGGCGGCAGGTTTCGCACCCTATCATTCAGTACTCGGAAGGTACTCATCAATCGCATCTTCCTTTTCAATCGAGATTTTCAAAAAAAAAAATTCGGAACCCAGACACCGTGTGCGGCTCGAGAATTTCCCGAGCAGGAAGCTGCATTGGAGGCAAAGGGCGGTTGCTTGGCCCGAAGCGAAGGGCGGTACAAGTGGCGGAGGCGGCGCCGTCACCGACAGGCACGGCAGGCAGGGTTCGGGGACGGCAACGGCGGCGGCGGCGGCGGCGAGGCGGAGCTTCCGCTGCGCCCGCTCCGTGGCAACCCACGCAGCTCCCACCATACGTCCCGCAAACAACCGGAACGCGGCCCGGGGCCGCGCCGCCGCCCGGCGGCCCGCGCCGAAGTCCCTCCCCCCGCCGCCGCTCGGTGTACTCCACTCCAGCTCCGCTCCCCGCGTCGCGCGCATTCCGCGCCCGCAGTTCGTCTCCACGCCGCTCCGCGCGGCCGATCGCAGGTCGCCGCGCGCCGACCGCCGCCGCGCCGACCCGCCCTTGCCCGAGACGAAATAACATCGCCGCCGTCGCCACATCTCTCGACTACGCAGCCGCTGCGCGTATGGTCGGCGAAACCCCTCAACTAAGCTGCCCGATGGGCGTCTCTCATACGACGTTGTAAACACGAGTACATTACGGATTAGCGCACGAGAACGCGTGTTTGCTCTGTGGGCGAAGTGGAATCACGTTAATCTAAAACTTTGTTCATTACGCGAAGAAAAAAATGTTACGGTTTTCAAATTTGTTCAGCGCTAACAAATACCGTCTGTTTTCTATACTTACTTAATAATGTAGTCAAATCTATTCCCTCCCCTCTCCCTCCCTCCCTCTCTCTCTCTTTCTCTTTCTCTCTCTCTCTCTCTCTCTCTCTCTCTCTCGCTTGTACTCGTTGGCTCTAACTCTCACTCATTCTCTCTTTCCCTTGCAACTTCCTCATCGCTCTGTTTCTCTCTGCACTGTTGGCGCTTTTCCTGCAACCATCTCTCACGCTCTCTCTTTGAAGCTACCATAGCTACTCTGCTGTTCCCTACCTCTCGGTCGCTTGTCTTCAGTCGCATCATATCTACCGTCTTCGGCGGCTAGCACTTACTTGATATGCTTCCACGCATTCACTCACTTTTCACCACATATTTTATTTTATTTCGTACCACATATTTTTATCTTTCTCTCTCTCTACCTTCTTACTACTTTTCTACATCGCTCGACCGAACACTTACACACACATACACACACACGTTATTCATAAATCTACAATTCATTTTCATAATTAGTAAAATATTTAGCGTGAATAATGCAATGGAAAGTTGCCAGAAATATCGCTAAGAGGTATCCAACATTATTACAAAATAATAAAAGCTACTAATCACTCTTCTAATGGCAAATATTTTGGTTTTGTTTACTGAATGGGTGAATTAAATGAGAAAACAATATTATTCCCTTGTCACCAGAAGAAAACCTTAAGGAAAGATTATTATTATTATTATTATTATTATTATTATTATTATTATTATTATTATTATTATTGGCGTACGATAGGCCATTACTGACCAAGCTACACGATTAACGTGTGTAATTTATAGGGTCAGCTTTTTAGCTGTATCCCTCAGTACGTCAAGGTTGTTATCCCTTGAAGTGTGAATTATGAAGTGAGAGTTGAAGGGACAAATACAAATACGACCATGCCTTACGCAGGACTCGAACCTGCAGCCTCCTCGGAGTAGAGGATGGCTGCTCATCCTCTACTACGCTACGGGGACCGGATTATTATTATTATTATTATTATTATTATTATTATTATTATTATTATTATTATTATTATTATTTATAATTATATATTATATCATTTTCATTTAGCAAATAGTGTTCATAATTATGAACAAATTATCAGAGAAAAAAATAATAGTGATAGTTAAAAGCTCTGACTACAAGTATTTGCAATGGAGTAACATAATCGCGATAACCACACTACGAAAATATTTAATTGTCAAAGTAAGAGTGAAGTAATATTATCGATATAAAACTTGGATAGAAAAAGAAGTGTTAGGTAACATATATCAAGAAGTTAGGGTATAATTTATTGTGTCCGTTACTGTTAGACCTGACAGGAGGAAGTTACTATGCGACAGTTCATTAGTAACATTGGAATTTTAAAATTATTCCGAATGTTAATTACGCTCTTGAAGGTTACTCTGAGTGATGTTAAATAAAAATAAATTTTACCAGAAACATTTATGATAGCAGTATATAACATCAGCAATTATGTTAAAAGTTATTGTTGTCCATTCAGCATAAATGTTAAGTTCAGACGCGATATGGTTTCGGTATATCCACGTCCAAAGGGCCATGTTATTGGAGTGTAGCCGGTCTCAGCCACGAGAGAAACATGTTTCGAATAAGACGCCCTGTAAGGCATTCTTGGGTCAGTCGGACTTGTAGGTCCCGCCCATTTTCACAGACACAATCAAACTTACATGAGCTCCGCTGAGTCCTCTTTCCCAGTGTCAGACATGACGCCTGCGAACATCAAATCGTCCATGAAGGTCACACAGCAATATTCTGTTGCTGTTGCTTTTTTTTCTGTTTACCTCCTGGTCGGCTACCTATTCGATGCGATCACTCGGCCATCCAATCCACCAAAGGCGGATTTCGCAAGAATCAAAGCGGAACGTCCGAAGGCGGTGTCGTCCATGGACGGGAACACTTCGTCCGGTGTGCTCATAGGGCGGCTACGGTCGGGGCCTACACCTCTCGGGGAAAGGGCGTCGCCGTTCCCAGGCGACGGGGCGCGGAGGTCGAGGAACCGGCGGGAAACTTGGTTTAAAGTGCGCGCGGGTGTCGACAGCGGGCGGGCGATTGGGGTGCCTGCGTCTTCTTCAGGAATACGTCGGGAGGGCCGTCATCCCAAAGAAAAAGCAGCGAAATTCACAACCGGGAGATCAACACGTCTATTGCTTCGATGGTGTAACTATTAAGGTTCTGCAACATGTGCAAGAGCAAGCGGCAAATTCTGATTGGTTTTAGGTAGAATCTAATTGGAGGATGTGAAGTAGAACACATAGAACATTTTAATTACCATGGGCGCAGGTTGTGAAGGAGAAAAAAACGGTTCATGATACATTGAATTTCATGAGATATTTCCTCAAAATTCTCGATTCCATGTACTACTGGAAGGAATATAATAATAATAATAATAATAGTAATAATAATAACAATGCCTTTATTAATGGCGAGGCTCAGGCCATAAGGCCTGCTCTTCCGCCTAACCAATATAGTATTCCTTCGAATTTAAACACAAAGCCTAAAAAGATGTTGGAAGGTTCTTTTTAAGAATGGCATACAAGCCAGTTCCCTTTTTTCTCCTTGCACATTTGAACAAACCAGCGCCAATGATATTATCAATGCAACTCATCTACATACGAACCTTTTCAAAGAAGAACGGAGGCGCAGTTCGTAGCTCACACGTGTGCCACACGTGATGAGCTAACGAACCTCGAGAGAGGGTTGCAGTTACGCACTTGATTGTCAGCAGGCGTTGTGTCACAACTGGGCGTGGTCCACTAGGAGCACCTGCTCCGAATGGTTGCGCCGTTTGTGGGTGACCACGCACCAATTCTCTTCGCGAACTTTCGAGACGCAGAACTGAGAAATCCGATGGCGATACAACCTGCGTGAGGACAAAGAAAAGAGTTGGTTAGAAACTAATAAAACATAGTTGAGGGTAGAATTATTTCGATACTAGTGGTGCTATAGCATGGTCCAGTCTTTCTGGTATTTGTCACGATTTCGTAACGTTCTAATACTTATATTCCAACTTGAATACTACTATTATTTCAGCCATATCTCGCTAAACTCTTTCCACTGCATTACTGTAACGAAAACATACAATGTCTTTTTCCAACGTCTGAAACACACATCAAAATAAAACGGACCTTATTTTTAAATCTAGGGAAATAATCGGTTCATTAAAATTGCACTTAAATTGCGGTTAACGACACATTTTACAGGTGTTTGCAAAGATGCTCAAAAAATTGACGCACTAAAAAGCCTCTCAGCAGTATATACTAGACTCTAATATATATATATATATATATATATATATATATATATATATATATATATATTTAATTATCAGAAAAATTGCTTTCTTTCTTTCTTTCAATAAAATAAGAGATACGTGAAAATAAGTTGGTGAAGGGTGAGTTGTATGAATGAACTGCAAGCTCATTCACTCACTTAATTCCACTTTTATTCATTTTGGCATTTTATTCACAATAGCAGGCCTGTAGATGACGAAAGAAGTAGAAGCAATCACATTTAACACCACAGTACTCCTTCAACGCTCATCTCCTCGGGCTTGCTGGACTGACTTTTACAGGTGCACTACAAACCGCGTTGTTTATGGTCAACAGTCACGTGAGTGGCGGCTTGTAGGGTAGTGCGGGCGTGCCATGGCACCGCCAACAAACAGGAAGGAAAATACAATTTCCTTCACAAATATGTGCATAAAATATTGTTTCTTCATTATATTTTTATTTGTAGTAATTAATTCGGGCGAGCGTTTAGTCCTTCGATGTTCTAACGCCCAGGCCAGAGTCCTATCTGCCGGCCTCTTTCTAAATAGCTGAGCCACCTACGAATTGGCTCTGTCTGACCGTTTAACGCTGTATAATAAACGCTATGTGGGATTGTATACGCCTTTTATGAATGAGACGGGACCAAAATCGAACTGGCGTACTCGTTACTATAGAGTGCAGTAACGACCCCTTGAGATTACTGTGGTCGCTCAGACTTCCAGGCTGAGTATTTTTATTTGTAATTAATATTATTTTTTTAGTTTGTTTTAAGTTTAATATTCATTATAAATTAATAAACACAACTACTGTAATAATAAATTGGTTGCTCGCGAATGTTAGAGATTACTAAACCAACTTTAAAACACGTTAAAAAACATTGATGATTTTTAATCGATGTTTTATTAACATCTAAGTTTTAATTTTGAACATCGATCGTTGGTAACATTGATATTTTGTAATCGATGTCGCATCACTAACTGGCATTTCCATACATGCCGCCACTGGTCAGCACGTCTCGAGATACGCGCGCAGAGGATACACGCGCGCAAGAAAAGTAATGAAAATTTATCAGACCGCTTGGTTTGCAAATACCGCCGCTGGCGAATATCCTTAAAAAAACTGGTTGCCATGAGTGTTTTGCTAAGATATATCAAGTTCAGACAACTTTGAAAATTCCTTCATGAAATATAACATCTTCCTTTATATTATTTTCAATGTTTGAATAAATAACGCAATATTGAAAGATAAAATTATTTTTATTTTAATAATAGTAATGTTGCAATTATAATTTAAAATAATTATTTTAATTATAAATAACAACTATGCTGACATTTCATTAAATTTACTTAACTCAATTTTGGGGCAAGGATTGATAATATCAATATGAATTAATGTGATTATTGTAGAATGAATTAAAATTCGACAAAACAAAACAAACAAAGAAACAACAACAGACCAATAAAGAAACAAACAAAAAATATGATCATTCTGCTTCAAAAAATTCACGAATAAATATTGTTACCAATATGTGATACGTGTTACTAACGGTTATGACGCCACTGCATGGAAAGTAACTTGTATTATTCAGCAGAGTCCATTAATCGCGAAAAACTAAAAAAACTAAAAAAAAAAAACTTAAAAAAAAATTTAAAAAAACTTTAAAAAAACAACTAAAAAAATCAATTTCAAGTATTTGCATCTTATTGTGGTTTCCTTAAATCATTCTTTGTTTGATTCAATAACGTGTTTTGGTTTAATTAAACCAAGGATGTTCAACATTTATCTATCTGTCAACAATCCGTCAAAAAGTGTGGTCAATTATTTTTCGTAGATAATAATGCTCTCACAGGTTTTGTGGATACCTTTCAATACATACTTTACTCTAACGTATACTTTGCGAAATATAATAAGGAAACAAGTAGTATCAATGAAGTTAGGAACATTCGGTTCATACTGAACTATAAAATGAGTTATATTTTACATCGCTTTGGGCCGACTCTAAAGTTGACCACGATTTGGGTCTATACAATGTCAAGAAGTCACATTACAAGCTCTGCCCACATATTCAAACACGTGTAGAATGAACTACATCCGGTAATAAATTCTACCGGTGTTGGCACGTTGTAATCTATAAAAGCATCTCGAAGCTATCTTAAAAATGTTTGCGTGCATACTTCCGCACTGATAAAGGCGGAAGCACAGCAACTTACGACAACCGTGATCTGACAAAATATTCTCAACAGTTTCATTGAGTTTTCCCCTTGTTATTCATAAAAGCAAAGAAAGCTAGTGGTGCAACAGAATGGCGCAGACTTTCTCGTACTAGTAATTTTTAAATCTTTATTGTGAACTTTTTTTTCGGCTTTGTTCCGTCTTTCTTCTCTGTTACCATCTACTGGACTCTAGTAGTCATTTTTTCACGCGGTTTTAATATTTCAGATCCCTAATAGACAATTGAAATAAGACTTTAAGAATGTCATAAAAGGGTAAAATCTGGTCATAAATGCACATTTTCATTGAAAAATTAGGAACGGATTTAAGAAAACGGCTCCAATTTTTGAGCGTTTATAAAAATGCGCATTTTAAAGCTTATTTTCATGCAAAACCATAGATTTTTCGTGAAACTTCATAAGAAAATGTACTGTATAATGTCATGGTAATGTACTGTATTTGCGATGATTGCCGTACAATTATTGTACTCACATATGAGATGTTTTAGAAATGACCATAATGTAAATATTGAAATGAGTGATCTTTTGCTGTACAGTTTGCACCAAACGTACAAACATTTTAAAGAAAAAAATTGGAGCAAGTTTTGAGAAAAACATTTTTTTTAATATTGTACACATTTCACTCAAATTTGTGGGAAAACTACTAACATTTTCAAAGATACTAATCGCGGTGAACAAGTTTTATTTGAAAAAAACGCTCTCTTCAATAATGAACTTTTAGAAAGACGATAAAAACATACTTTTGTAATTTTTGGAAATTCAGAGTTAATAGATAATCGGCTCTATGCCCTCTTTGTACGTGTGTATCACTTTTTTATTACAATAAATTTAAAGAAGAAAATTGAGTAAATTTTGAGAACATTTTGAAAATATTCTGCGCTCTTCAGATAAAGTACCCCCAAATTTAATTTATTTTCAAGACCGCAAAGCGTCGAGCCAGTACAGATCGACCAGGGAATATTAATTTTGGATAAATATCCAACGAATAGTTTATATTTTATAGCTATTAGGCGCTAGCGATGTTCACAGACGGATAGACAGATGGAAAGACGGATAATAGACATCTACAGTTGGTGAAGATTATTAAACACGTGAAGTATCATTATTTTTTTGCATGTCATTTTAGAGAGGCAAATTTATAGCTATTTGGAAGTGTATTACTTATTACGAACTAATTGTACGAGGTACGCTGAGAAACGTCGTCTCTTTGAGACAATCGAAACATTCAAATGACGTAGTGGAGGTATAAACTGCAATGAATTATCTTTACTTTAGTCTTCACTATCGCTACAGTAATGACGCAACTCCCTGTCATATCCTTTCTACTATCTCACCGTGAACGTTTTCTTTCTTTTTTTTTTAATCATCAACGTTTTCAGGTCTTACAAAGTTCAGTTCACACTCTACATTTGCAATGTTGGCTTAATATAAAATTAATGCTCTATGCGCTAAATCTTAATTTTAAAAATTTCATTTTTGGGGTGGAATCCTTTATGGGGAGACCTCTGGGAAGTTACATTTCGCAAAACTGTATGAGGAAGATATAGAAGGGAAATTTATTTTTAATACAGGAATTTTGAGTGTTATTTCTGCCTAACTGGAGCGGACGTATTCCGGTGGTTTGAGGTAAGTTATCGTAAAACTGTGTGGAGATATACGTGATGTGGTTTTCTATTGTTTGGAGTTGGAATTCATTGTGCAGCAGTTGGTTGGAAATAAACCATGATGCATTTGTAATTGTACGGAAAAACTGATTTTGAACACTGTAGTATTAGTGTTCGATCGTGCGGCATTTATCCAAACAGGATAATAATATAATTAGGGCTGGGTTATATGGAAGTTTAGCTGACTGTTTATCATTGGACTTAGTTGATGAAGTTTTGATTTAGGCTGTAATATTTTATTATTTATATACTGTTTTCCTTTTAATTGTGTATTCGTTAATAATCCTGTATATTTGATGGGTTTGTTATGCGGCTGCCAGTTAATTACTTCCTGTTTTAATGTAAGCGGAATGAGAGGATTATGTGGTCTCAGGGTGAATATTATAAGCAAACATGTTTAGATTCAAATTGATTTTTATTTTGGAAGTCCAGCTGCCTAGAAGGTTAAGATATAATTGAAGTTGATTTTTAGTCTGCTCTAGTAAATGGTCGGATGCATAGATTGCAATATCATCGGCAAACTGTGCTATTTTAATTGTGTTTGAGTAAATTTGCCACGAACGGGTTGAATAACGTCGGCAAAAGCGGCGACCCTTGTGGTAATCCTGCTTTAACAGTTTGAGGATTTCGTCCGTAGTTACCGATCGTGACCGAGAAGGTTCTATCTTGTACGAAGTTGGTGATTATTTGGATTAGATACAATTGTGTGCCTGTTTCGTTGAGTTTGTGGGTTAATGCCATGATCCAGTTCCGGTCGAATGAGTGGGCAACTTTGGACTACATTGGGACGATACCCTCTGGAAGCATGCGTCTAATTTCCGTCGAAGCACGGACTCGCGTAGAGTTGTGACCTGCAGGAAGTTCCTAATTCGACAAATCATTAATACAGACGACCTGAGAGGAGTGGACTAGGAAGAAAAACCTTGTAATACTTTCCTCAGTTTATTATACGGTTATGTTTGGTTATAAATCTGACTGGTGTAATTTTTTTGAAAAAATATAACAAATTATCGAGCAGGCCAGCGAATAAAACACGTACACAACATTAGTGAAGCCACTAAAATGTTATGGATCGGACAGAAGTGATTTTGCTCAAAAAGCGAGCAATAATGCGGCACAAAAATATATAAAAGAACAATGATCAAATCAAACATTTTTAGGGAAAATAATGGCGTATATACAAAGGCAAAATACAACATATTAAGTGTAAAGACATCTGTAGTAAATAAATAAAAACTAGTGGAGTGTAGCAGCAAAATTGCTTTTCAAAAACCCTACAAAATGGTTTCCCAAAAAGTAGCGAACCAAAGCAATAAATCAAATACTCTCATATAACTGCTAAAGTTTAATATTTTTACAAAACGCTCTCACGTATCGTAATAAAATATATACGCATACATACAGTATACACCAAGAATATAAAACTAGTAGTGCAACAATAGCACGTACTTCCTCGCATCAGCAACGGTTACGTACAAATATAATATCGCAATTTATGTCCATATTAACACATCTCACTTGTAAAAACTCTTTGCCAAATCGTTGCGCAATAGCCGCGAAGGACCCAACTATGAGAAGTTATTGTGAAAATTTCTAACTGGCGTACCTCGGCGTTCCATTATTGTATTGCAATGTGATAATCCCTGAAAAATTCTACCAAAGAGAAATTCGAATTTATAATCTGGGGAATATTGCGGCAAAATGCTACCGACTTTTCGTGAATTAGGCTATATAATGCGCTGCTTAATAATACATCGACCAAAAACCATGTTTTTGAACATCGATGTTATATTGCTGGTTTAATGACCTCTAACTTTAAATTCCATGCGCAAAAAAAATTTAATGGCAGTGGCCCTGAATATTAATTTCTAATTACATTTAACGGAAAACAATGTAAAAAAACGTCTTTCCATGCGCAAAACACGAAGTAAACACCACGGCATCAGGATCATCTCGGGCAGGGGATAGTTTGCTCGATGAAGGCAGAACACACCGCGTTCGCTAGGTTCGAACACATAAAACAGTGGGACCATCAGTTTTTATTTCGTGTTTTAACTTTTACGCAATTGTGGTTATGGTGATTTTTTATCCCAAAAATACAGAAAACGAAAAACATCGACCATAAAACATGAGCTTCAATATATCAATGTTTAAAACATCGATATTTTAATAGAAATATCAATGTTTTGAAAACATCGCATCCCTACTACATCATACACTTCTTGCCGACTTTACTTTTAGATTTATTCAGTCAAAAAAAAAAGCCAGTAAAAACTGTATGTGACTTAAGGGGGGAAAAGATTATCTGCGCACGTTTTCTTGAGTTACAGAATCCCTTCCCGGCATTTTAACTATAAATAGTTAAAAGATAAGTAAAAGTTTAACATAAATAAATATAACTAAATTTTAAAAATCGCAAAATAAGTAATATTTGAAAAATAGTCATTTTCGTTTCTAAGTTATAGAAAACTTATTTGCATCGGTACACGAATTGCAAGTACTGTTGTTCTGCATTGCTAACGAAATAGCAACTCGCCCTTAACTCTACTCTTACCATTACAAGCAAAAGGAGAGTTCAACAAAACGTGCGCATAGTGAAGCAACATTTACGTCCAAAAGCAAAACAACGGGCCATCTCAGCATTTGCTCAATGGATAAGGGAAATTGGACACAAAAACCTGATCGAGATGGGAGTCATTGACCTGGAAGCTGAAGTACATTATTTGTTACAAACATATTAAGTCTTTTAAAAAATTATACAATCCAAATGTAAACTAATTCATTACATATCACTGTTTTGTTAAAATAAACATTATTTTTCTTTTTGATAATCAGTATAGTCTCTAATTGTAAGCATAGAAAGAGTTATGAAGCAGAAACGATTTTACTTTTAACTTAAATTTGTGCACCAACTTCAATTGTTTAATGTCATCTGGCAGTGCGTTGTAAAGTAACGTACGTGGAAGTATGTGGATTTCTGATAGTGAGCTGTTGATAATGACAGTTGATGAACGGGATTTTTACGACGTGTGTTGTAATTATAAATATCAGTATTGCATGAAAATATGTTCCCACCGTTAAGTAAGTCACTTTTGACAAATATTATAGATTCGTAAATATGTAGGCAAGGCAGTGGTAAGATTCCAAGCTCAATGATGAGAGGCTTACAAGGGTAACGCGGATGGCATTTTTTCATTATTCGAATAATTTTCTTTTGCAATCTAAAGATCTGAGTACTACATGATGAGTTTCCCCAGAATTTTATACCATATCTCAGGCGGGAATGTACATTTGCAAAATACACGCAACGAGCTGCATGAAATCTGTCAGAATTTGATAGTATTCTGAATGCGTAACATAATGAACATAATTTAGGTTTAATTTTGTTATATGTACATTCCATTTGAGGTTTGACTGAATTTACAGACCTAGACATTTTGTTACCTGAACATCACTTAACTTCATATTATTAATTTTCAATGGAGCATGCCATTGCTGATTTGAAAGGCAAAAATGCATTGAAACGGTTTTTTCCCTTCATTAATTTGTTGTTAGAAAACCAATTTGAAACTGCTAAAATCGTACTAAAACTTCTAAAATCGGACTTGAGAATTTCCTACACAGGCGACGCACTTCCAGTTTGCTCGTTACACCCAGTCCATAAACTAGACACAGTCGATGCAGTGTGCCTGCAAACCTTATTCTAGCCAGTACGAGGATAAGAACGTTAGTGAATAATAGTATAGTTGTTCTTGTAGATGCTTTCATCTAGATCACCACTAATCATGGGCCACAATGAATAAAAACATGGATAATTAATTATTTACCAATTGATAAATTAATTATTAACTGTGAATGTGAATTATTGGTCCATTCATACAAACTACCTACAACTCTGTTCATAAACTTTTTTTCAGATTTCCATAATTTTCTTGGTGATTGTCTTAATGACAGTGTCAGCGATAAATAAGAATCATTTTTTAAAAAAATACCTAACTCAGATCTATAACAACCAGTTTAACGATTAGTGTGACGACCCATCAACACTCAAGCTTGAATATTTACATCACGCTTGCTTCAAACTGCCGCTCAAGTTAGCATAGGTTTAGTATAGTTTATGCATTTTCGTAATGCTGTTCTGTTATGTCGACATTATGCAACCGGAGGAGTGAAAAGCCACACCTAAAGGCCGGCGTCGGTGAAGGATTTTATTTCACACCAGTATGTCACACGTCAGATGTTTACGTGCTTTCAAGCAGGCCGGAAAGTGGAACAGGAGTACACGGTAGCGTGATGAATTCTCATACAATCTATGAATTTCAAAGTTTGATTGCAGCGCATCTGATTTGTAATATAGTATATTAACATTCCCAGTGGATGACGGGGTGAATGCGGGGCTAAGGATGTCGATGGAGGGTGACGGCAGGTGAGAACGAAGGAAGAGGATGAGGGTGAGAATGGGGTTTGGATGGTTTGGCAAGGGCTTGAGAACACGAGAGAGGACGCGAATACGATCGGGATAAAGACGAGACGAAAAGGGGTGAGGAGAGTCATTAGGATGGGCGATGGGAATAGGAATGAGGATGAAGGGAGAATGGGGACGCAATGCAATAGATTCCCAAATGCCATCAGCCTAAATATCACAAAATTCTTATAAATTTAAAATAACTGTGAATGAATTTGCGAATCAATGGAAGGAATGAAAACAGTGGTTGACAAACCTGCAAACCAAGACAGAAACAGCGACTGAATATAGTTTTGATTCCAGTTTCTCTTCATTTAATTTTTCAATATTTTGAACGCCTTTACAAGTAAGTCAACGGAAATAAGCTAATTTATACAAAAACTTTCTTCCTTACGAGTAAAGTACACTACAACTAAAATACAATCGGGTGTAGTCGGATGGATGGGGGCCAGATGGCAACTTCTTCCACCTCAATCTGGGAACTTCTATTCTTTCAAACAAAGTATAGCATGTACACCATTATAAAATATGCCCATTCACATATTTTTGAAATTGTTAACTCTTCTAAAACGAATTTTCTTGCTATACCATACCAAGGCACCAATTTTCTTGCTATACAATGCATCCCCTTGCCGTGGAGATCGGTTGTCCATGTGAATTGCGTTGGGTAAAAACCTGATTAAAATCAACAATTACATGAGAATGACTCAATAGATTATGTTGATTGCGAAAAATCCAAGGTATATCTTCAAGAAAAGTGGAATATAAACATGATATTTTTAAGACATTATTTTCACAAAATCCGATGAAACTTTTGACAGACAAAAAATTTGTTTCTTCCAATAAGAAACTATTTGTTTCTATTCTGTTCGCAGAAAATAATTTTATACAAAAGAAAATAGTACAATACTTTTGATTTTATAATAATAATTACTTCCTCTTAAGAAAATAGAAACACTTTGTTTAAAATTTTATATTAATGGTAATTTCTATCTCTCGAGAGTCAATTCGAGAAATTTAATTTTAATGACATTGATTTTCAGTTATTTATTCAATTAAAAAATGTTAACTTATAATTTATAGTAATTTATTTGATACTAAAATAACAATAATGTATTATTGTATTAATTATAATGTTACGTCCGTTGAATTTTATTAATAGTAGTTCTTATTTCTCTTTGGTTCCCACTTTCCGTGATGAAAATCCTGTGATTCACCTGACTACATCCTAGCATGTTCACCATTCACATAGGAATATTTCCAAACGTTTCGAAACCTAGGTTTTTGCAGCTAACCGCGTTCTACGTCAATAGAGCCAGGGCCTCATCTGACGACCTTGTGCGAACTTGCTAATGATCTCCAATATCTTAGTTCGGAGATATGCCTCTCAGTCTCTTTTTCGTTTTCTTTTCCCAAGTCACATTTGAATGGATATGTTGTGATTGTTTCGTTGGCTTTTTATTTATTTAATTCTTTTGTACACACGTTTGTGCCACATTTCCTACATTTGCATTTCTCAAATAATATTTGGTAATGAAATGACGTTTCTGTGCTGGGAAATGATTTACTTTTATTATTATTCTCAAACAGATGTACTAATTTTTTTAATTCAAAGTTACACAAAAAACCTACTTTATTAATTGTTCGAGATATATTTCATATTCAATTAGATATAAGAATATTTTAAAAAAACATTTTAACATATATTTTATATATCTGGATGTTGGTATACATAAGAGCGGTAATCTCCGACACCGTGTGACCGTTCTCCACGAAAGTTGGCACACCTACGTGTTTTTTCACCCAGAATGTTTACGTGCTGTTAAGAGACACGGAGAGACAGAGGGAGTCGGAAAAAGGGAGGGGCAGGGACAGAGAGAGGAGAAAGACAGGGAGAGAGATAGAGATTTAAAGGTGATACATAATATAATAAAAATGTCAATAAAGCAATAAAAACATCTTAGCAATAAAAGTAAAATTAAATATTAGACCTTAAATCTCATTTATTTTTCCCAACAAACAAGAAGCTCAAAACTGTATTTCTTCATTTTTCAATTGCGCTAATCCAATATGATCTTTGGTCTGATAGGAATCTACTCGCTACTACCGGATCTAGAATCTTGATCATGTGGATCACCTCATCAACCAGACCTAAGAACGAGGTTGAGAACAGGATAGGGAAGGGTCGCGCACTGTCCATGATCCTTTGATACATGGTACTGTCTAGAATTGATAAGAGAAAACAACGACAACGATCACCACTGCAACCGTTCTCTTGATTGTTCATCTACTAAATATCATTTCGCGACCCAGCTTCTTAGCTGCTGTATGAATGTATGACATTCTGACTCGACGTGAGACGAACCGATATAATAATGTGTTTGCAACCAGTTGATTTACATAATTTGAACCCCCTCAAGAGGGGTGTCGAATTTACGAATAGGTTAGCATGACTACCTCACTCATCTATATGATAACATCGCACAAAACAAGTGGCTGAACAATTACATCAGAAAATAACTAGAAAGCCACTGTATGAAAAATCGAACTCCCCAAAATATTGTTTCATGTCGTTCAGTACTTATTCTCCATAACTGATGATATTAGGGAGATTTACAAATACTGTAAAAATACAATAACTATTGATTATGACACAGTTAAACATGTTTTAACAATGTAATTGAAATGTTTTATATTTATCTAAATTTGAATAATGTGTAGAAGGTTGCAGTGCATTGCAGGATATCTTGCAACCCACCTTAACTTTATAACGCAATTCATCATATATAACTATATGATTATAGTTGTATATGAACATGTTTTGTAAATAAGCCACCAGTCAGACGATTGCCTGATGTTGCGTTTAAATACAGTAGCTAATCATTGCATGTAAGAACATGTTCGAACTTCAAAAATTCGCTATCTTCGCTTCTCACTCGTGATACAAGAATACAATCGCGAAACGCATTGATCTTATTTAATAGATATTAGTGGATGAAACATCTGCTTCCCCCAGATCGATTGCAACTTGCAAAATTAAACGATCAAGATATCTACATTTGTGTAGAAGCTGGTCTTGAGAATGGCGTAATACACAAATCACAGTAAATGAGCGTTCATCCTACTAATTTTAATAGATTGAAATTTACCTTTTAACTATAAAATCAGTTAATAAGAACGAATGATAACATATCTTGACCCCACTACCTTTCATCGAGGCTTGCGAACGGACGAGGTATGAGGAAGGACCCACTACTCCGCAGGGTCTGAGACTTCCAAGTTGTGCATTATCACTACAAAATATTGTACAGTAATGTATCTGTCTAAGCCGGAATCGATCGGGACTCACAAAATTTCTGGTTTAGGGAGGTTTCCGTTTTATGCAAGGTGGTCCATTTTACGGCACTTGTTATATTGACGTTTGCAATCTAAAAGTAGTACGTTATATATTATTATAATTATCAAAATACTTTAGCATTACGAATTTATGGGAAAAATCACAAATAAATTAATATTAAATAGTCATCATTGACAGCTCCTGAGTTGAAAAATTCACACCTTACTGGCTGTGTTTGGACTGCTTGCTGACTCTTTCAACGCACAATAAATCACACCCCAATACTATGAACGTTTGATACACTCGCATGGCCTTTAGAAATGCGTATCTGGTCGAGTGATTATGATTTTCAACGCGGGACAAGGAGAAGCGTGAATAGAAGCGATGCCCATACACCTTCCCACGCTCAGAGTCGGGCGAGAGGGAATTCCCTTCGGCCTACGTCCTGAGAGACAGGGGACCCCAAGGTCGAATTTTACGTTGACAGCTGAAGCCCCTCTCCTTCAATGCTCCGTTACCACGACTAAATCGCGTGTCACAGAGATAGAGAATTTAAAACAAGCTTGCAGATGCATTCATTTCATTAAGACCATCTCGCATCTCTCTGCCAATTGCATTAAATTCACAGGAATTCCGTTTTATAAAGGAATTTTTTACCTGCAGGACGTGAAAAACCGTTCCGTTTCCGCGTTGAAAAGGTTCCGTTTTATTCTTTGTAAAATGCCATTTAACTGCACAGGCCTGTGAAATTTTCTGGTCAAGGCAAGTTTCTGGCTTGTTCTGGTTCCTGTTTAGAGATTTTACTGTATTTTGACGAGTGTATAATGCCTTCGTGTTTATTAAACGTCGATACATACAATTAGGTACACTAACGAGTGTTTTAAGAAAATAACATCTTCTCTATAAGTAGCAAACAACCCTTAGCTGCGATCTGAGTTCGGATTCTTGAACTGTAACTGCAACACGGGTCTACAAGCTCAGCTGCGTAATCTTCCAAAAAAATGATACCTTTATTTCATTTCATATTCAATGCCACCTCGAAACAAGATCATTTACTCGTACAATGGAAAATAGCTCGATTAATATGTCATCCCCAACCACTGGATGTAGTAGTATCATATAGACGTATTGGCGTCATATCGGCATTATTCAAAGTGTTTGTAAACCTATTTGTAACATGTTTGAATCCACTTCCTCACAAACAGGACAGCTCATCGGCAGCTTTGGTTTAGGCAATAACATTCAACTACAGAAAAAAATCATCGAATACTACAAATCACTAGAAAATAAACAAAGTAATACTTCATTGTATATCACGGAGTAAGCCTAGCGGAATCCGATAAAGCCTGGCGTCCAGGACTATTGTACAAAATTAAGACAAAAAATTCATATATTTACTACTGCTTATTAAAATCATACTTCACAGAGATATCTTCAGATAAAATTCAATTGAGACGTTTCAGAACTTTAAGAACATAAGGATGTTTCACGGAAGTGTGTTTGTGCCTTCCCTTTACTCACTTTATATCACTGATATTCCAACAAATAATAATGCAATGACAGCAACTTATGCCGACGATACAGCTATTTTAGTTCCAGAAAATGAACCTGGCAATGTCAACTGCTGTGGTCATTAGTCCGGTTAGTGTAGTGAATGTTTTATCCCGGGAGGTGGCGAAGATTCCTTCCGTTTCCACTGGTTGGTGAGATCCGTAGCTGACCTACACGTTGGTATGCGGGATATTTCCCTCCTCATGTTCTCTAACCAGCGGAGCACCACCTGGCTCAAGTTCTAAGCTCCCGAATGGACTCCGAACATTTGCTGTAGAGTAGTGTCTGTAAGTGTAAGTAAAGAGGATATATCGAGGAAGAGGAAGGAAAGGTCACGAGCGCTCCATGGCCCGTTTGTTATGGTATTGCTCCGGCATTCGTGTTGTATTGATAAGAGAAACCACGGACAACTAACGATCAGAGCAGGCGGCCGATAGAATTCTCCTCCAGAAAGCGGCTCAATTCGACCTAGCACGCTAGTCCAAAATCCGCCACAATCGGCACTCGAACCCAAGAACCACTCAGTCACAACGGTAGCGACATTTTAGCTTCACCGATTCATTTTCGCCAAAAAAGAGTAAAAACTGTGTTACATTTGGGGGAGAAGTACAAGCTGCGCACGTTAAGCCTCAGAATCTTTTCCCACCTTTTAACTACAGTTGAATGATGAATAAAAGTTATCTGTCCCTTTCTGTCTCTCAAAAAAATTCTTTTACTTCAATAAAAATTACCCACTTTTTAATGCACTGACTTAGGTTTTCTTTG